AACTGTAAAGGTTACCGAAGAAAGATAGCCACTCCCAGCAGATTGATCGATCCCAAGTAGTAGGCGAGTTAATGTTACCACGTACGGCTTGATAATGGCCTGAATATAAAGGAATCCGTTGAATAGTCGAAGGGTTTACAATGGTTTGAAGTGGAACGCTACCTGGTAAAGTAATCTGTCCAACATATTGGCACTAAATACTCCACCTTGTGCGAAAGGAAGGCGAAACATGTAGGGCATATGCGATCCTCGTTTTTTCTCATTCTGGAATCAGAATCCATGTCTCCCTGGCTTCACATCATCCCAAATAGGAACTACATGGCGAGTTACAGAATGCGGAAATAGGACATTCGCGACTGCACTACGCTTTGTCATCATAGTTCAAAACAACTCAGAGCTGTCGACGAATTAATTTACCTTTTCAAACTTGGATTGAGCCAAGGAGTAGGGATTGTTAGCGCTAAACTGTACAAATCGCATATTACTCGTATGGGTGAGTTCTGTGATCATTCGTAGACGTGGAAACATCCTGAAATGAACAATGAAGATTGGCTCATGAAAATATGGACCATAATGTTTTTGGGTTTGAGTCTGTATAATATAAATGACTGCGGGCAGTTGTTTTAGTGAGTTGATTAGACGGGTCTCCATAATGCCAAGTTATCTCCTGGTAATGATAATTTCCTAACCGGCCAATTATTCGAAATTTTGGGTTCTTATTGCTACAAACGATTTTTTCACGTTGTTGCGCAATTTGCCAGAGAGCAATGCATTTGAGGTAATAGTACGTTCCCGAATTTTAAGTGGCGTGTCTGTGTGATCGTGAGGGGTAATACTTACGACACCTTACACTTCATGCCTACTTCTCACTCCATTGAGACTCTTTTTTTGTACCTTCCTTCTAAATTTACATAGTTATACCTTTTGAGCTCATAAATACATCCAGTAGAATGGAGGCATAAAGGCAAATCGGTTTCGCATTGTAAGATTCCCTTGCGAGGAGCTGCAGATGATGGCTGATGTACGCCGTTACGTGGGCCAGGATTGGTTTGTTGCCGGTGAGCTTAAGGGCACAGTTTACGATAATGTCGAAGAACGTTCTAGAGAGGGCACAATAAGGATTCAGAGATTGTATCGTGCGAATGCCACACCCCTAGTGGACGAGTTCCAACGGTTTTGTACAGGCTGCACCATTCATAAGGGAACCAATATAGGAAGTCCAAACAACTTGTCATGATCCATAGCGACAGTGAAAGGCAATTCTGGACATTTGCGGCTTTGTGCAGTTAACTCTTTGCACGATGAGAGCAAGTTGAATCTCGTCCAAACACCCCTACATGCCATTCCTGTCACAGTGATCTCGTACAACCTCCACTTCCACTACTTTTGAAAAGATTGAGGTGGGCGAGTTTTCACTCTTTCTTCGCCACCGATGTACTCCTCTAGATCAACACTTCAACTTTCCAACCTAAAAAGGGTGCCTCAAAATTATCATGAACTGTGCCCATAGCCGAAGCCTGACAGTAGGTTCGTTAAAGTATTGCTAGAAAGGGTTAATTTCCATGAAATAGGCTTGTCGGTCTCTTTCGACCGGCGACCATGGATTTCAGCTCTTGCTTCACTCATTTACTAGCTTTTATCCTTGAAAAGGACGTAAATTGCTTTCTTTGTGGATGAATGGGGAAAGATAGCTCCAGGCGAGCTAGGGCAATGGTGGTACAGAAACAGAATCGGATTTTTACTGATCGGACTAAAGTATTAGAACCAATTAAATAACCCTTCATTTGGGGCGGGGAGGGGACTTCTTGACAGCGCAACTCTCGAGAGAACAAGTACGTTCTTACGGTTCACTGCCATTTTGTTCTCTTTAATGCACTAGTCAAGCGTATTATCTAGCTAAGCTATCGTTTGCGTGTAAAAGTCGTGAGTGCTTTCTCAATAATGAGACCAATCGGGGAGGATTAGTAATATAGGGATCGAACTAACCATGGGTCATGCCACAGTTCATTTCCAGGCATTAGTGCTTTTGAAAAGAAGCTACCAGTTCTATTTACCTATGTATTTTTTGAACGGTGATAATGGTACTACAGTCGGCGAGGTGTTCCTCCGCTAATGAAGCAAACTCCTTAACTACCACGACATGTTCCGCATTACTGACGCCTGCTCGAAGAAGGTTGTCAAGCCTAAATAATGTATGGTAAAACAAACACTACCACCAACTGCTTTTTTGGTTTTGGCTCTAGCGAAAAACGTAAACATTGAGAGAATTGTGAACCGTTTTAAGGAAAGCGGCATAAAACCTACACCGACATCTTTCCATGCATCCAATATATCAATGGGAAGTATGAAATAGCGTCTAGAAAACTCGAACTGGGGCTGGACGTTTCTTCCAGCTCGAGTAGCAAAACTATTGGATGAAGCTTGTGAACTTGCCGATAGTAAGCTGTAAAACGATTTCATCTATCCCTTTTTACATGCGTATAACTTGTGATAGCTTTTTTTCATAAAGTCTAATATTATGTCGAGAAATTGGGAACTTATCTGAGAGGTATAAGAAGATTGTACATTCCACTACTTGTTCTGTCTGCGGCCAGGATAATAGGTTTATTAGACCATCCGTATTCGTGAGCAGAAGTGTACGGGCAGTGCTCACATGGCTGTAAATCATTTCCATTGAAAGTATCGACACATCAAAAATGGCTATGTGGACGGAACGCTCAGAGTCGTCCAACACTTTTTGGCTGATTAAAGGCATAGTTCACGATAATTTTGAGGTACCCGTTTTTAATTGAAAAGCGGAAGTATCGATTGGGAATAGTTCATCGGTAGCGAAGAAAGCGAGAGAATTCTCCGATCTCGAGAAAAATATGGCTTCTCAAAAGTAGGGTAAATAGAGGCTGGACGAGATTGCCATGACGGAAATAACATAATGTTATGAAAGGGGTATATGGACGAGATTTCAGTCATTGCAATGGCACAAAGAGCTGACTACATCAAGCCAGAACTGTACAGAACTGTCTTTCACTTTCGCTATGGATCGTGACAAGTTGTTCGACTTCCTACATTGGTTCCCTCGTGATGGGTGCAGCCTCTACAATGCCGGTGAAACTCGTCCAAGAATATACACGGGCCAATCTTTGAGCCCTCACAACTCCCTAACTAGGCCGCTTTCCGACCTAATCGTGCCAGACACGGTATACGCAGGAGCCTCAAATTTATCCTGTGGGGGATCTTCAGAAACCATTTCTATCGTGAACTGTGCCTTTAACTGCATGCACGTCTTTGAGCGGTCCGTCCGTCTAGGCTGATTCTGTAGCGCATTTTCCAGTACTGTATTGGTTGGATATTTAGATAAGATTCTGTACCGTCATAGTCATTCAATGTTAATTTTTTTTTGCTCGGGAATGAGGTGGTTGCGGCTAAATTTCCCTTTCAACGGAAAGTGTGTTCGGAAATACTCTGGGATATGGCTGAGATGCTGCCCATTTGCATTTTAAAAAACTATCAAGGAAGAAGAGCACAGAATTTTCCTCTCTCAGAACATATTTCCAATCATAAATATACCTCATTCAACTGTAAACAACATATAGGCCGTTTTTGCTTGAGCATATGACAAACAGTATTAGACGTTCCAATGTAGGTACGAACTTGTGGGTAGCTGCGTTGTAGTCTGGAAAAAATTCGTTTACCGATATATATATTTTTGGTAACTTCTTTTTAGGGCTTACTTCTGCTTTATACATGGGCCTTTGCATTTGTCGCATGAATCCTCGTTTTCTGAATCACTCGAGGTTCCTGGTTTTGTCTGAAATGCCTTGATATTCTATTACTCTAACAATTTGTTCTGGCCTCCCTGCGATATTTCTATCATCGTTGTTGTAGTTGTTTTAAACAAGTTATATGATAGTTCTTGTGGCTGCGCCTCTACTTATAGCGGGGAACAACTTTTAGTGAGTTACGGGGGTAGGCCGGTTCTTTACCGACTACAGATTTGTGTTTATGACTCATTAGTGAAAGGAACTGTCTGCTCATCTATTAATGATCACACTGGCCTTTGATCCCGTGTATATCACGCAAAAGATAAGAGATTAAAGTTTTTCAGCGCTGATCAGTCCAGTTTCTTGAATGCGCCCTGCATTCGACTTCCATTCAGAATGTATGGCGTAATGAATGCGTATGTGGCCTATACAGTGAGTCGCGGTGGCTAGCCGATGTACAAATCTGTTCTTTCATCCTCTCACACGAGGATGAAAGAAAAGATGATACCAACCAATCGACCCTGAAGGATGAAAGAGCTCAGTTGGACTAGGCCGATATGTTCTAAGATTGGAAACGCGGATCATACGTGTGATAGTGCGCCTCTTGTAACTGGACCACCCCTCCGCTATGGATATTATTGAGTGCTTTCCGAGTTAAACGACGTGCACTGTTTCACACGACCAATGATGGACCGATCGACGGCGTTGCTGGCCACGTGTTGAAAACGTTGGACCGATAGACACCGCTCTTGCGGCTCTGAAAACAACCTGTCCTGCACTGTCAACACGCGGCCAGCAACGCCGTCAGTTGGTTGGTCGATTGCTCGGCAAAATAACGCACGTCGTTGAATTTTGGAAGCACGCATTTATGTAGGCAGGATCTCAATATATGAACAAGCACGGCCAGCTAACTTACCGGCTGTGTATCGTTACTCTGAAAAGTGAAACTGTAGTTTTCAAAGAGTTCCTAAAACGGTTATCACAAATAATGATTACCTCGCCTAGCATTTCCATGGACAGATGCGAGTGGTGACTTGGAACCCTGACGGAACCGCCAATGAGGGCCTCTCCATCTCTCGTCTATAACGGATAACTTAAACGAAAGTTCTCTACGAATTTAATAGTACGGACGGACCTTTGCTTTCCGTAAAAGCCGCTTCCGCATGTAATTCAGTCTTTTCAGACCACTTTCAAGATAAGGCGTCTCAATACCTGCAAAGTTAAGGACAAATTGTAAATCAATGGAAGGGTCCTTTTTCAAGTTTATAAAACCTTGTTTCAGTGCGCCCACGCATATTTCAAGGTGTATGAGACCTATACAATGTTTAGAAAGGCTAGAGTATACAGCTTTCATTGCAGAGTCGTGTAACAGCTAGTCGGCTCACAAGAAATGAAAAGTTTAGTTCGCCTGGATGGGCGTGGAGCCGGGATCCAACTCCGTTGTAATACATGAAGTAGCGAAGCCACATGGCGCTATCCTACCTCAACCTATTTGACCAACCAGGTTGGCTGGACAAGTAGTCTACATAGGTTGGCTGAAAAGGTAGCTCACGAATATATGTCAAGGGACAGTAATGAGTAAGGAACGTTGCTGCCACGAAAATGGCCTGACCAAATTTTTTCTGTGGTTTTGTAATTCCCATTGAACAAGGGGGGGGGGGGGGGGGGGGGGGGGGGGGGANGGGAGGTAGGAGAGTAAAGGAGGAAGAGGGGGTAACGTCTCGCAGTAAAACGATGAACGACAATAATCATAATAGCCAGCGATGGTAGAGGCGAAATGTTCCATTTCCATATGCTGCTTAGTTCACGCCCTCCACCCTTCGATATGACTGAACCGAACGAAAAACTAGCTTCCTTCCGAAATACTTACCAACGTTTGCAATAGTTGATGCTAGATCAGCCTTTTTCTTTTGATCCTTTAAATCTTTATGGAAGTTATACAAGGATTCCTCGTTCGTGAGGGCCATGTAATACAGGGTGTCCTTCGACTTGATAATGTGCGATCCGCCAGGATTGAGAAGGATCTTCGCGTTTGGCTCGTCCGACTTGACTGCAATCAAGCCGACACCATACCTGAATTACCAGCGGAGCCTGTTGAGGTGCCGAGTTAGGAGAAAATGTAATAGAATCAATGAAAATGGAGAAAAACATGGAGCTTAGATATACCCATAGCGACTCACCTATTATGGGCACAGTATGAGGCGCATGTGAAAGATTTTCCAATAAAACTTCCAAAAAATTTCGAATCCTCTGCTTTTATCATGTAGATCTCATTGCCAGAATGAAATCCATAAACCTTATGCCATGGTTCGCTCGATTTCTTCCCTTCGCTGAAGTGGGCAGTGTTAAGAGTATGTACCGTAAGGACTAGGACTCAGTATTGATAATTACTTACTCTCCTTTTGACGTATGCATCAGAAGAGTAATAAAAGTGGATATACCAGGGCAAATACAGTTATTCGCCAACAAAGCATATTTGAACTCGTCTTCGCAAATCAGCACCTCTGAATGGGAGGAATTAGGAGTAAGACCGCACTCATAATCGAATCCCTTTGTCAACGGTAGGGCTTTGTCCGCTTCGTAGAAATCTGTGGACTCACCTGCATGTTCAACGTGCATCTTAGTTTCTGGCCTAAATATTTGTACATACTGCTTAACATGTGGAGCGAAATCCTTGACTGCCCAAGAACGAAGGATAGTATGTTCATCCTTAATATATCACATTCATTTTGGGGATATCAATCCTAAAAAGACGGAAACTATCCGATACCGTAATGATTTTCTTGTCCTGGTGACGAGCAGAAAGAATGAAACAAGCTTGGGCATCTCCGAGACGAGCTCTGAAAAGTTTACGGCTTCTCCCGGAGTAAATGTGAATACCATCTGATAAGCTTTACCTTTCAAGGTTTTCATCACGAAGAGCAGTCCCCCTTACATAGTGAACACGTTCACTGTACAACGGAAATTTCAGTAAAAGGCGGGTGGGATCGTCAAGCTCAGCAGGCGAAAGTAGAATCACATGCACACGCTGAAACGAGGTGCTAGTGGTTTGAAGCGAATAATTCCTTCATACAAGTACAATTCAGGGAGTAAAGCTTCAAAAAGGTAGTGAGACAGGATTGCGCGAGGTTTTGTGTCTGTAACCGTATAGGGGTCTCCTACATGAGCATACTATTCGTCGGCGTCTAAGCACTTTACTGTGAATGCGACACCCTCAAGAGTACCGTCACAACAAGGTCACTTTCGGGTGTGCATGTCTCCTAACCAGTCTTTGCAATCCTTGTAACGCTCTATCAAAGCCGTTCTTCGATCCGTTAATGTCCCTCGTGCTATCCTTGGGGGCCACACGCCCGTCCTAGGGAGAAATCTCAGACCAATCTGACTGCCTTTAAGAGGCACAGTTTACGATAAAAATGGCCGTAGTCAGCTATTCGCATCAGAACCCACACGTATGCAATGACACACATTGTATAGCTCGTCCAAACGCCCCATTCTTCTTCGTTTTTCTGGTCTAATTCTCGTCCAGCCTCTTTTTTAACGATTGTTTAAAGCCTCTTTTCACTTTGGAAACACCTATTCACGCAGCTTCTCCGCCCTCCGCACTATTTTCGATATTATCTTCCACTTTTCGTAATAATCTGGATTACCCAGAATTAACGTAAACTGTGCCTTCAAAGGGAGAGTAACAACACGGCCGCTTTCGGTGTGCACGTCTGCCAATCAACTTATGGAATTTTTAAAACGGTCTGTCTACGCCATTCTTCGATCCAACCATATCCTTCATGTTATCGACCTTTCAGGTCGGTGTTTCAACGAGATCTCATTGCTGGAGCGAAAAACCGTCATCAGATGTATGGAATGGCCAGATAAACTGCACAGGCATAGGGGTGGCTCTACTCCATTGACCAATAAAGTATTTATTTTTTCGAAAATTTCAAACAGCCTGTTGTTATAAGGGTAAGTGAACTTCTCGACAGTTGGGGACGTCTGCTCTGCGGCATGCGGCAAATCTTACTGCGATTATCGTACTCATCCCGCCTCCCCGCCAATCAATAGGGCGCAGTATTTTTCGATGATTGCCTTCCTTTTTTATTAGTTTTGATCGTTTTTTTCTGTTTTCCTTTCGTTTTTATGTTTATTAGACTTGATCAATTTGAATGACTCCCCCTATACTAGCGACAATCAAGACTGCTGGAATTGAAGGAAGCGACCAGGCAATTCAAATAATTGAAGGACTCTCTACATCACATATTGCGCGCTCCAATCTTCCATTGCAATCCTGCGATACGCGGCGGGTGCGGCGTGCGCGACGCCGTTGGCATCTTTCATAGTCCACGACCGGTCGCGCGACCGGTCGCACGACCGGTCGCTCGACCGGTCGCTNTTTTTTTCTGTTTTCCTTTCGTTTTTATGTTTATTAGACTTGATCAATTTGAATGACTCCCCCTATACTAGCGACAATCAAGACTGCTGGAATTGAAGGAAGCGACCAGGCAATTCAAATAATTGAAGGACTCTCTACATCACATATTGCGCGCTCCAATCTTCCATTGCAATCCTGCGATACGCGGCGGGTGCGGCGTGCGCGACGCCGTTGGCATCTTTCATAGTCCACGACCGGTCGCGCGACCGATCGCGCGACCGGTCGCTCGACTAGTCGCTCGAGTGATCGCGCGGGACCGTCCGCGGCGGCACCCATAACTAACGCGGCCTCCTCGACCGATCGAGCGACCAGTGGCGCGATCACTCGAGCGACCAGTCGAGCGACCGGTCGCTGGCGACCGGCGACCGGTCGCCGGTCGCTCGTGAGATGGGTCCGCGACCGGTCGCGCGACCGGTCGTGGACTATGAAAGATGCCGTTTGCGGGGGGAAGATACCAGACGCGTTGTTATAATTACCAGATCTGATGAATGTTGGGCTTTTTTTATTCTTTTTGGCGATAGGTAGAGGAAATGGTGGCTTGCGTAAGATATGATCGTGGCGTATACAAGTTGTAGGTGGCATCCCCATCGACTGTTGCACCCTGAACTGGTTTCGAATAGCTCCAAACGGCTTACCTTGTTTTCATGATGTGCATAGAATTCGTCTAAAAAATCTCTGACTAGTTCCATTTCCAAATGAGTGATCGTAACAACGACGTGTTTTTCGTTTTTCGAGAAGCCTCCACTATAATCACTTCCACACTTCTGTCTTGCAATCCAAGTTTGGCCCAAGGCCTCGAGCTACAACAAAGGCGGGGTGAGAAACTATCGAGAAGACGAGAAGTTTTTACTTGGAAACCTTAATACCTGTGAAGGAAGTAGGACTAAGGCTACACAAATAAGGATAATGACGCATAGTCGCGACATCCAAGTATCTGGATACCTGAAAAAAAAAACATATAAACATGGTTTCAATTGGTGCCATCTAGGACTGATTTAAGACGTTTTTTGAATGCGCTCTGTCGCGGAAAGTCGCGACTTGACAGAATAGCGTGTGTCAAAGGACGGTATCGCGGCAAAAACGCGACTTCACAAGTTTGCTTTTGTTGGCGAACCTTTGAAAGGAATAAAAGGGCTGGTNATCATCAACTTTTCGAGAATTATATCCTCTGACTAATAGACTTGAAGCAAGGCCAACGGGACTAGAATCATCTACTAACAATGAGATGAGGTGCGCAAAGATAGAGTTACCCACCATCCCGATCCCTTCGTCAGCTTCAATGGACATCTCCTCTCGCACACGGCTTCGTCATTTAAGAACGCTACAGGAGTTTGAAAATCATTCAAATCCAAACGAGGCGGATCAGCGAGACATGCATCCTTTTTTGCCGGGCGAAGTGTCGCGGAAAGAAGCAACTTAACATGTTAGCGTCTGTCAAAGGACGGTATCGCGGCAAAACGCGACTTTACAAGTTTGCTCATGTTTGCAAACATTGAAACATATAATAGGCTTTTAGGAGACGCCACGAATGTGTTCTTTTTATGCTTTCTCTCTTTCGAATATTTTGCGATACGGCGAAAAGCCCCCATCTATGCGCTAGGTCCCTTTATTGATATACTTTGTCGTGATATTAGATTGTAAGGAAAGTTCTAGCCGTTTGTCAGCTAACTTTCAAAAAATCATAACTCATCTCATAGTGAACGCTTTTATTCAAGCCCGATTCGATTCTACACATTTTTGCCAGCCTGGTACAAGAAAGTCTATCCCATTCTTATAGAAGTCCGGAGATTTAGATACCGAGAACACGAGAAAGGCAGCTTCAACCTCGCCTTGATTTTTGAATACTCATTCCTCCAAGAAGTTGTCCAGATGTTTGAATAAACGGTAGACAGTTGAGGTCTGGTCTGCTGAGTAAGGTGAATGAGGGAGAGCTTCGATTCGTATATATTTCAACTTCTGAAAGACAATTTGTGACCTATGCGGTCGGCCACTGTCGTGCAAAAGCATTCGATTTACTAGGGCTGGCTGCATTCACTCTACTTTTGTGTACATCTCAAGAATTCGATCACAGTAGGACCATGTGGTAATGGTTTGATCGGACGAAGAGATGGGTAATGAATTAATCCATTTCTAGACCACGAAACTGTGACCATTGTCTTATTGACTAGGATAACTGGCTTGGGAAAAGTTTTTGGAGGCTCATCTACACCTATCCACCGAGTAAAACTTTTTCTGTTGTCAAATACGATTCATTTTCTATCACACCTTACAATACGAAAGAAACGGCTCAATATCATCTTTCCTCAGCAAGGTGCTCGAAATTTCTAGGCGCCTCAATTGTTGCTACTCCGTGAGTTGGTGTGGCACTCACTTGTCAAGTTTCTTCACCATTCCAAGTTGCTTGAAGTGATCAGCTACGACTGTATGGGATAGTCCATATGCTTGGTTGACATCGATTTTCCTCGACAACTCTTGGCAAATCATCGTGATCAACTAACGATGGTCGATTAACTCGCTCTTCGTCTTCCAGTGACTCTACTCCACTCCTGAACTTCTGAAAGCAAACCGTTCCAGTGCCTTCTCCCCGTGCAACATTGGTGTTTGTGGCCGCCTCCTCCGCAGTCCGACCAATTTTGAACTCGTGAACTGAAACCGCTCGAAAAGCAAACCTATCCATTCTGCAAAAAAAACCACCTGAAGATTCTAAAACCTTACAGACTTCGGGGAAAGGGCTAGATAGTAAGGGCAACAAATGACTTGTTTAAAGAGCACAATGTGTTGATTAGTCTGACTGGACAGCCGCCAAAATTTGAATTCATATGGCGCGTGCGCGAGAACGGCCAGAACTTTCTTCACGACCTAATATTTGTCCAGTAGTTTGGTCAGGTGGTAGAGAATTATTGTATTTAGTTCATGTTATTATTTTTTGCTATTATTGTTCCGATCTCTTCTTCAAACTCTCTTCGCCTTATGATTACGTTGTTATGCGATATGGTTCTGTTATTCGTATCTCACAATGTTACCATTTTTTTATTGCCATTAACGAAAGGTTTCGTTTATTGCTCTTGATGCTGTTTTCAGATTAAGGTTTAATTAGCCAGGTTTTAGGCTATGCAATTCCCACGTGGTAAGTGTCCGTTGCACGCCACATTTCCAAATTCCATTCAGAATCGTAGTTGCATTTTGCATGCGCAAGATCTACACAATTTAGACAGTGCTCCTATTCTCTCAGATTCGTTCGGTCCAATTAACCGACCCTGGGGTTCGAGAAGCCAGCCAACCCTCGTTTTCCAACTCCCCCAACTGGACGTGCGACAGGGCACCTTTTGTTATTACACCAAATCTACCCAAAAAACATAGCAACGCTGGAAAATGTGAGTGAAAGCAAGTGGGAGCTCAGGCAAGGCTCACAACGTTCGAAATTCTCTGAGCTTTCACAAGTCGTCCCAACCCCTATTATTCTTCTCAGTATCGAGAGCTAATTGCAAAACAAAAACTCAAAATAAATCGCATGGCTCACCAATCTCCATATCCAACAGTCGAAAATGTAACCATAACAAAATAAAAGCTAGTGAAAAGGTCGAATTGGCGTTCACCTGCTCGTTGTAGATGCTCTATGCTACACATACCTGTAAGTGCATCCTCAGTCATGTTCTTGAGAGTATTGAGATTTTCAAAACGTCAATCCCCTACCAGTGAAAATCAGGCAGATCAGCGTCGAAAACAAAATCAGAAGGTGTCTAAAGAGTGCAGAGTGTTTTACCAAGGATCCACGATTCAAATCATTCTGAAACTAGTTACACTAAAACAAAAAGCCCAGGTTTAAAACAGAAGCATACCATCATTGAGTGAAGTGATCCCTTGGCTAGCCAACAATTCAAAAACACGGGGACATACATTATTCGGAGATCTCTGAAGAAAATCTGAAAAGCATCGTGAATTAGCGAATTTTCGAAACCTCAATTCTGACTTTCAATTTGTTTGTTTATTTGTTTCTCGATTAAGGAAGAAACTAAGAAATGAGTTTCGACATATAGATGCAGAAAATGAGAGGACTCTCTACAGAAAATTTTTAAATTTCTAATAGGTTTAGAATCAAGGTAAGAAGAATAGGAGGATTTTGAGTTGATCAATTTCGTTTTCGAGTGAGCCCAAACGTCTGACCTCCACGATCGCAGCAGCGTTTCGACTGTGTATGTGGCATGTAAAATGTGCTCGAAAGGGTCTGCTGAAGCTTACGTCGAAATACCAACTCCGCAGTAGATATGTGTTTTCAAGAGCGATGTTGCTCTGCATACACTGCGGGTTTTATAGAGTGATCATAAAGCTGCCAAAGTATGGCGTTGTTCAGATACATCAACTTTGAAGTCGATAGAAAGTCTTCAATCTCAGAAGCAACATTGCTTCAACCAAGCAACCAGTAATTGTCCAAATCAAATATAACCTCAATATTAGCAATTCTTCTTGCCTTAAAATGGAGACCCTGGTCCTCAACTGAGGTAAGCACCGGTCACTGATGCAGTTGAAGTAGTACTGGTTGGCCCAGTACCTCAGCCTTACTTATGATGTTAGAGTGAACGGAAGTTACTTTGATCTGAGAAAGGAATGTCTCTGCTATAAAAGGTAAGGCAAAGCTCCCTGACTCATCTGTTAGACCCATCTTTTATTCAGGTAGCTCTCACATCTGCTGTGGCTCCGCATTGATATTTAGGCAGTATTTCTCTCTCTTTCTCCCACGTCACTTAACGATCGGTGTAAAAAGTTTTCCTTTTTCTTTCCCGAGTTTGTGCAACCGTCTTTCGACTTAACTTTCCAGGACAATGGCTTAAATACGAACAAGGAAGTATGACCAAGTCTCACTTCTTTCTTCGTTAGAACCATGGATTTCTTCAGGAGCGACTGAAAACGTGTTCTTAAGCTTTGAGGATGCCATCTGCAGTGAGTGTGATTGGGTAATTAATTAGGTTTCTGTTTATTTAGACATAATGAAGGATCTTTGATAGAGCCTATAAGCGGAATCGCTCTATGACAACCGTCTCTTACAAATCAGTCCTCCCCACACAGCTGGAATGGGGAAGTCTCCTTGAGGATTCGTGTATCAGATAATACAATAGTTCAAAAAAAAAGGTACGTGCAATAATTTCAAAGAGTATTCACATGCTCAATGGAAAACTTTTCACCTGGGAAAGGGCAGAAAGGCAGGTGAATTGATGGCCAGTGAGAAGAATCACCTGCCTCGAAATTTTCTTTTCTATGAGCTTTTCAAGCTGACCTCTTTGTGCCAGCCACCTTTGCAACTGTTCAAGACGAACGGTAAACGTTGCAAGGATCCCAGAAACTTGTATAAAGTAAAGAGGACAGGTGTTCGATGAAATGATGCGAAACGATTTCTTCGCAAAATGCTACGGTAGCGTAGTTCATGTTTGAACTTCTCCCCTTGTGTGAAGGGGCTCGAGGTTTTCGAGTACCTCATTTGGCGCTCTCTTCCATATCACATACAAAGGGTAATGAATGTGAGTTTCTAGGATGGAAGATTCTAGATACAGGGAACAAGAAGGTTCATAGATGAAGATCCCGTATCGTAATGCGAGGCTTAATTTCCGCTGATCCAGAGATATGCGACTCGACTGGTTCTCGACTTGAACGCTATTTCTGATGTATATAATTGCTACTGTAGCTTACATAGTTTGTAACTTGTATTGCCCTCTTTAATATGTCAATAGTAAAATTAGAATAAGGTTTAGAATTAGAGTAAGAAAAAGAATATTACTCACCGTAATGATAAATGGGAAACTGGTGACGAGTTCCAAAAGGAAGTGGGCATTGACGAAGAGGCGACAAATGTTCCACTGAAATGCCACCTATTTTGCCATGATCTAAGACAGTGCTCTAGAAGAATTTCATTAGTTAACACCTTCCTATACAATTAGATTGATAAAAGAAAGGTGCGATTTGGGATCTTCGAGTATCAGTGATCCGCTTCAATTCGACGACAAGGTAAAGTGCTGTCACCAAAAAGAAGGGTTCAACTGGCATAACTCACGTGAAGAGGTATGGTATAATAATTATTTATTGTATTTATATATCTACAGGTTATAATTAATGAATGTTATTTAGATGTAAAGTGAAATTCACCTCATAACTGATGTAGAATACGATTATGGTCTCAGATAGACTAACAAGTGCGACGAATGTTTGTATAAGCCACAGGTATGTATTCCTGCCTACCCAGAACAGGTAGTCACTAAAAAGTCAGATGATCCTTTCAGGCCACAGATTAAAATCCAAATGAACTGACTATTTTATTTCTCCTTCCTTGTAATGATGTTCTGCTGGAAGTAGCCTGGAGTCGTGCACAACTCGTACACAGTACAAAACGCACGAAAGTGTCTTGATGAATACATTGAATAGTCGAATTCGATAGCCTGAAACGATCTGAAAGGATTTGAAGTTTTCTCACCTTTTCTTTCATCGATTTCTCATAATTCCTACTCCAGTTCTGATGAACGTTTACTCAGGATTTTCTGGTTTACTATGATTAATGATTTCTATTTAAACGAGATTTATGATATTTTGATTGAATAATTAAATAGTGGTTGTCAACTTTCATTGTTATTAAACCTCTAACTGTGGTTTGAAACTTTCAAGATCTTCAGACCATTGTGAGATTCATTATTTTTTAGAGGCTCTGCCCAAATAAGTGAGTAACGATGTAGAGTGCTTCAACTACCCCAACACCTCCTAGGTAATGTCGCGCCAGTTTTTCACCCTCCTACCGAAGTCGTTGAACAGTCCTTATTCGAAGGCCAGAACCAGAACTATTCAACATTAAATGAGCGCCACAAACATTGCAAAGAAAAAAACTATTCAGTATTCCAGACTACTTCGTTTATTACACAGGCGGAGGTGATGTTGTGGCAAATGATGCACTATCACAAACACATGTCACGATTCGAACCTCGAAATGATATTCTTCGGGGCACCAAAGCTTTCCATCCCTCCAGGGATGATTGTTTAGATTTACGCAGTCCGGGAGGATAAAAGGACTAACTTGAATGTCGAATGGTCACCGCAACTCATTATATGTATGTATAGGCCATATCACACATCTTCAATGCGCCGCTACAATTCTGAACTCGGTGGCATGCGGGGGGCATCCTTAAGATGGAACTGGTCACACCAAAAGACTTCATCCTCTAGGACTGTTCTACCCGTAGCTACCTTTTGCAATTTGTTATTAAAGGTTTTTTTAAGGAAAAATAACGCAAAGGTCTTGATCCTCTTACCAGTTACTGAAGATTTTCCTACAACATTCTTTTCCCAACTACTATTTTACAGACAGTAATACAGTCAGATATGGATTGCTTACTGATGATTTTCCTCCTCTAACCGTTAGGATGTACCACAAGACGATTTTCAGCTCTTCGGTTAGATATCAGGCAAATGAGACTTAATTAACGGATCATGGAAATTCACGACTCAAATTCAAGGTTGTCAAAATGGTAGGATGAAGATACAGTCTGGGATCTGCGGAATGTGATGGATGAGAACCCATGACGATGTCGCAATTCAAGTGGATTGCGGCTCGTATTGGACGAGTTGGCTTGGAAAATGAATCAGCCATTTCACTTCAATTGTTTGCCAGATATAATGCGATAAAGGAAGAGTTCTAATGATATAACGAGCTGATTAAATGGTCACTTAGAGATCTGATTCTTCAATCTCGTAATTAAATTGTCTGATTAGCCGGATTGTAGCGAGGCCTCTTGAGAGCACTACTTTGAAGAGTCTTGAATATTATAAAACCCATGCCAGGCAAAACTTACAGTTACATATTTATGATGCAAAAAAGCAAACCAAAAAACTTGCAATTGAAAAAGACGATATACATAAGTAAGTAATAGCTGTGGGTTAGAGTACACATGACCTATGCAAGCACTACATAAAATCTAAGTGTTTCGAAAATGGCCATTGACATTTGTATCGAATTTTCCTTGCGTGCTTTTGTCAGATCTCAGATGCTTCCTTCTTCAACTATTAATTTGAATGATTTTAGATTTAGTTATAATTATAAAACAGATTATTGTATGTAGCTATGCGTTGGATTTTACATCTTCGAGTGCTTTATTCACAGATTTTTTTCTAGCTGATGTATTAAAATAGATAATTATAAATCTAAATGTAGGTATGGTCATATGCAGTTAGTAGAAAACTGTTTCAATTAAAAATAGGTATGAATGCGAGATTACGGTTCTCAGGATCTTTTTCCTAATTTCTCCTTGCTAATGACCTGAAAAAAGTAATCATACCTGGGACAGCCTGGAAAGGCATCGCTTCATTAAGTGGGTATCAAAGCTCAGATGGAATGAAGAGGAGTCATTACCTTTGGAAACGCCTACAGAGTGCTCATTATATCCTCGTTGCTATGGGAACCCTTTTTTATTCATTATATATTACTCTTTACATCGTTATTTGGCGTTATAGAAACCTTGAAATTGTGCCCATGGGGAAAATATAAAAACTAATTTGCTCTCAATGATCACCCTGCTTTCTACTGTGTACGCCACGTATTGCCCGTGTATCTCCAGATGGATGTCAGACCTCACTGAGGGTTTGTGAATCTTCCCTGAAAGCGTCTAACATTTTGGCGTGAAGGTATAATGACTAGGCGAGGTCTCCGTTTCGGTCTCTATTGTAAGGAACGAATAGCACAGTGCCCGGAAAGTACAAGTACGGGTTCGGATTCCGCCGGATACCGGAGTTTTGTCCAAGTGTCTAAATAGTAAGTAAAGGGCCACCACAATCATACAGTACAACAACGGATTGATACCTCATAGTCAACTGATTTTTCAGGTTTTGCAAAGTGTTCCCCGGAGGGATCTGACGTGAAGGAAAGTGGAACACTGTCACGCAGTCAAGTTCTGGGATCAAATCCTGCATTGATGCTCGCGCAGGCTAAATCAGTCAAGTATCCCTCCAGGTAGATTAATTGGTATTAGACTCGTCTGGGAGGACAGAAGCACTAAATCGAACATCAGGTAGCCATGGAAGACAGTGAATGGGCCACGCATTCAAAAATCACTATATTTATGAATGGAAGGTAACTGCCGGGTGCGTCCCAAAAATGAGATCCACTACAGCCAGAGATTTGATCCTTTTACACTTTTATTGAAGACTTTCCGATCAGCACTCTTTTCCACTCTTTTTCTCATAACTGCTAGTCAGCTTGCCAGAGCAGCACACAGCAAACCTATGAGCACACATACAAAGCGATAAAAACGTACCTAATCGCTGGTGATGTGCAAAGTATTGTTGAGTAAAAAGTTTTGATCGGCTTTTCATTTCACTTCGAAAAAATCTTATTTCCGTTAAAAGAGGATCTCAATCAGTAATATAGTCTCCAGCGTTGTCCCCAACATATGCCCATCGATCCACCAGTTTTTTGGTTCCTCATGCCCAAAACTGCGATGGCCGCGACTCGAAAAAGCTGGAAATCTCAGTTTTGAGTCCCGAGCAAACATTGAAATTTCTATCGCGAAAGTAATGTTTAGAGCAAGAAACAAATGGCAATTAGAAGGAGCGAGATCTGGCGAATAAGGAGAATGGGGCAGCACTACCCTTCCAAGTTCGGCAATTTTCGGACGAGGCGATTTCGCAACATGCGGCCGAGCGCTGTCGCGAAAATGGCAAACACTTCCTCACTGCGGACGCTTCCTTCGAACAACGTCGGCCAAACTCTGTAGTTGAGAAGCGTAAATCTCGGTGGTCACGGTGGAACCCTCAGTAGGTTATCCAAAGTGGAGCGTTCCCTTAGAACCCCACCGACGACACAGTAAAAACTTCCTCGTATGTAGTCCGCTTCTCTGTTGTAGACGTTTCATCAGGAGGCCTTCTGTGGGTTGAGATACGTTGGCTCTTCTGAGTGCACCACAGATATCTGCGAAAGCCGTCGATGGATTATGCCCTTACAGTAATTCGTGACAGACGATAGCTCTTAGACAGCTTCGGACGACAGTTGAAGGATGAAGTCATATTTGCGAAGCTCTTACAAGGAAACGCGTATATATCCCTCTATAGTACAGTTTAGGGATTGGTTTACCACAACCCATTACGAAGCCCTTCCGAGCGATCCTACGTAAAAATCAAGGAAGGGATGAGAGTCGACCAAAAGTTTTTACTCAACCTAATAAAAAGGATAGAATAAACTTAATTGTACATCGGCTCCAGTGAGGCCATTCCTACTAGAATGAAAGCGTAGACATACTAGTTTTCTTGTCTTCGATGAAGTATTGCTGCAGCCTTCCTTTGATGCTGACTTTTTCACCAGCCTGGGCTCGAACTCTGAAATCATCGATGGTGATGGGAGATTTTGTTTTTCACCTGAAGACTATGTAATTTCATGGAATGATGACCACTTCGTCTTAACTGCTCGATTACTTTTATAGATTACCCATATGCAAGACTTTATATGTAGGTATAGATGCAAATAAGCAAAAAGCAATTGAAACTGAAAGGTGTAATACCTACGTGGGAGCGATATTAACGAAAAACCTGCTCTCCTCGATAACTTAGTTGATAGTTTTAAAAAGGGGAAAAGGAGGCTACTACTTTATAGTGCCTAACTAATTAGATTGGAATCTCTGGGATCACTCACAACCTACAATTTCGTTTTTTATATGTGCCCAGCTACCGCATTCACTATGTATACAGTATTCAGCTGCTAGGGCAATAATGCTCAAGTGGCGGAAGGGGTCGAATTCCATATTTTGAATTTCGTTGCACGGAAATCGAAATGGTTTGCTTGAACTTTTACCGGTTTCAGGGCCAGTTCGTGCCAGCTCAAATGCTACCAAAGAAGTGGCAACTGTGCAGCTGGGCAAATTAGAATACAAAGAATGCGAGTTACCTGTTTGTAGTTCCTGAAATTTTTCCGCGTTCTTTCTGGTGCCACCTTCTACCACGTCCCGTTCCCTCTCCCATCATCCCGAACACCCCCTCTCCCGTGATGGCTTTGCCTCTCTCTACCTCCACCTTAACTCTATGATTGAAAAAGACAAAAAGAGAGATTATTGAATCAAGAAGGTTCACATAGTGGTTCTTCAGCAAAATTCGAACCCCTAGCCATATCGTTGTTACTGGCTGAAAACAATGTTATCTCGCAGAGAGAAAAAAAATCAAGTTCCCCTCGTCAGTGCCTCCAAGAACGAGAAACATGCAACAGTAATCCCCTAGAAATTGCCTGCTACGAGGGGATCCAGGACGTGCACGTGTAAACGACTGATTGCGATTGAATTTACGCACTACTTTGCAGGGAAGGGGATTAACAGCTACAAGTTGGAGCCTATATTTAGCAGGAACTCCTTTACTAACGGCGGAATTGGGAGTGAAGTTAGAATATATGGAAGTACGCATCGCAGAACATTCAAGGAAGTGAGGAAGAGATATAAGGTTTTTGTTATCGTGTCGAAGACTATAGGAACTTACAATCTATCAAAGGGAGGGAATCAGTTGCAAAGTTCTTTGGGAGGAATTTGATTTTTAGTGACTCAGAATATGTAGGTATCTTCGAAAGAAGCTGAAGTCTTTCACTCTGCAAGTAACTTTGAGCCCTTCGAATGGCAGGATGCTTCTCCTGTTGTTTTTTACAATTCGTAAATTATTAAATGCTGCACTTGAGTGACATCGACTTAAGCCACACCTTCTCGAAGTTCTCACACATAAAGGAGGTTATTTCCAGTTGGAGGGAAAAGCATAGCGGCCATTACTAAGTTACTGATGTGATACACAGTTGGAAATAGAAGATTTCTCAAGAAGAATGAAATGGGTCAGCCCAGGATGACCACACTGGTAAGCATGGTAACCCTTTTGGAGATCCTTTGAAGCGTTCCCACTTACAGAAGATAAGTGGCAGCATAAGCAGCCACCTACCCATCCCAGAAAAAATTTAACCGGTATAAGAATGAAAAGACTCCAAAAACTAACATTTTATCTGATATAGGCTCCATTTCGGCAAGTTCCGACGTGGATTTTCCATCATTCTTCACCCCGGCCATTCATTCAACCGACGAATGGGAGACAGTATTGCTGACAGCACGCCTGGAAACGACGTATGAATATGGGTGAAACCACGTATTTGCGATTGTGGAGCAAACACCACGGAAGAAAGCAGAGAGCTTTTTTACACCGTTCGTGGTGGGAAAATTGACGCATATCCATAATATTATTTGACTATCACACGACGGAAACAAAGCAAGTGTAACTTCGAAAGC